ATTTGCGTAGCTGGAGAAGAAGGGTGGCGTGTTTATGAATGCAAAATATACACTTAGAGCTGAGTGCCAGCAAAAGCTCACATGCCACTTTGAATGCAGGTTTTTTGTGCACCTGGCATCCCAGCGCAAACCCTCTTAACAAAGAGGAGAAGAAAAAATTGGAGGCAACATAAACATAGGAGGTGTTCCTCTGCTGTCAGCTAGAAGCTATAGATTCACTTTTTTGTGATGGGATCTTTTTTTTTTTTATTGCTACACCTATTCAGTAGATTGAGTTCAGTAGATTTTTACAGGAAAAATACAGGCTTGTGACTGTCATTCACATAGTTTCTTTGATTTGAGACCACTTGTTTTATTCAGTGGAATGTGGCAATCATAGCTATACATAATTTCCACAGAAAACGGTGCTTTATTTCTTGCTTGAAAAATGGTCAGCTTACCTTCCGAGTTATCTAGTGTATTTATCTTAGGTACTGACAGAGACAGTTGCTGAACTATTATGTATGCACTTTGTAATGACTGATATTATGTTACTTATGGTAGCGATTTTAATAAAGGATTATATGATTTAAAGAAAAAATGATAGACTTCTGTAGATCCTACTAATTTACTTTAAAATCTTTACCTTTTTACATTCTCCTTGATAAATTCTTACAGACTCTTGGAAAGAACAGCAGCTTAATCACATCTAATGTACTTCAGATATTCCTATCATTTGAAAAAACGGTTCTTAAAACGGCATTTCTGTTGCCTCGGTATCCTACCTGAGCTTATTTCTAAGATATTCTCCTCATTCTACTGACAAGAGCAAATGCTTAGACTGTCAATAAACCTGCAAACCCAAAGCCAAGCTTTATTCAGATGATACCCATACATCAACAACGCATTGTGATGAGTTCCAGGTTTAGGATGTATACCTTAGTGAATACATTAACTAGGTCACTAATTTGTGCCCTTGGTGCTCTTTAAAATGTCCCTGTGTATGGTAGCCTCTCATTTGTGCATTTAGAAATTTTTGCTTCATCTTTAAATAGCTTTAAATCTCTGTATTTCTCCTCTGGTTGCTGCATGTGTTTGTTCTCCTTGGCTTCCTCCTGGGTCCACGCTCAGATCAGCACAATGGACTAATTCTGAACCTGCAGGTTCCTCCTTCTGTTTCTACCCCACCAAAAGAAGCCCTAGAGCTGAAAATCCAGTGAAATGTTCTCAAGATACAGTTGAGATCAATTTTAGTTCTTTATCTCTTTTTCTGTTTTCAGATATATTTCTATCTAACTACAAAGCCAGGTGCTAACGGTTAAACTCTTAACGCTGTTCGGAATTTTGCTGTTCACCATAACAGCACTGTATTTTGCTGGCACCCTTGTTTTTGTCCTCAGAGTGCAAGATTTCTCAAGGTAATCATAAGAATACCAGGTTGTAAGGGACCTCAGGGTCCAACCTTTCTTGGCAAAAGCAGTCTAGACAAGATGTCCCAGCACCCTGTCCAGCTGAATGTTAAAAGTGTCCAGTGTTGGGGTATCCACCAGTTCCCTGGGGAGATTATTCCAGTGGGTGATTGTTCTCATTGTGAAAAATTTTCCTCTTGTGTCCAATCAGAATCTCCCCAGGAGTATTATTAAACATGTTTTGTACATGCAGAGCTACTAGTAAAATCTGTTAGAACCTTCCCTATGCTGAGATTGTAAGATTGTAAGATCTGATCTGTTACTAGTTCATCCCTTTCAGTACAAAGCCCTGTGTGATGGAGTCAGTCTGTAAATGTGTCTCCTCTGCTGTTAGCACTCTGAATTAGCAGTGCAGAACACACAAGTTGCATTTAAGAAGAATATGCAGTGATCATAATGCTGTGTGCATAAAACTGGTGTGCTGTTTGTCTGTTTGTTGGAAGTTTTAAGGACTGGATGTTTGTTTAAGCTCTGCTCTGAATCCCTGATCAGAAATTACTAGGAGCTCCCCACATGTCTTCCTCTTTAAACCCTTCTAAAGGTTATTTTAACTACTTTTTAATATCTTCTTGTTTCCCTGCAAGTGTTTCGCATCTGATCAAGTCTTATTAACTCCATATGTTGCAAGGAGCAGTCCGAGTTTGTTTGCTTAAGCCTCAGTTAAAAGAAGTTGTATCTTTAAATACCGTACAGCAAGCCTGGAAGAGCTCCACGGAGGGGAAAGCACAGCTGTTCCATCATGGTCCGTCATGGTTTCCATGTGTCCCGTAGGCAATATCTTTCTTATACTCACCTTGTAAAATTACCCAATTCCTTATGCTTGTGGATCTTTAGACTCATGGTAGTAAGTGGGTTTTTTGAGTTGGTTTGTTTTTTTGCTTTTCCCCTTCACCCTGCCTGCATCAAACTCATCTGTTATGGCATGCTCTGGTCCCTCGTGATCCCTCGTAAGTGTAAATGTCAGTCCATTTTCCCTGCAGCCTCTACCATCCAGCTGTAGTTTTCAATAAAGAATTAACAGAAAAGCACAAATTGCTAAAAAAGTTGTTGACTAGCTTCTGACTAGTTAATTTTTCTTTGGATTCAGATACTGCAAAGAACTGAGTATCAGTCAAAGGCATGTTGGAACTCAGTCATCTCCCTAACCTGACCTCCTCCTTCTAAAGGAATAAAAAACCCCACTCATATTCAATGACATTAATGAGAATTTTCCCCCCTGCAAACATATTGTAACTGTGAAATAACATTAAAGTTTCTCTGCCTTGTTATGAAGTCTTTAAATGTCAATGCCATTTCTGAGACCATCAGGGCAGATTTAATGGTGGCCAAGGTCAACAAATGCTAACTGGTACCTCTCTTTTAGGGCCTTCGGGGACTCTTAATAGAGTCTCAGCCATGAAGTTAATTTGCGGTGTGGACCTTTATTCTTAAACCTGCTCCTGATGATTATTTTGTACTATCTTCATTCATGTGCTTGATTTCTTAACGTTGCCTTGTCTCTTCAGTCAATAAAATAAACTGTTAAACTAAAGACATTCTCAGGTATTTAATCTTTTGTGTTTTTTTTTTTTTTTTTTTTTTTTTTTTTAGTTTTGTATATGGGCTGCAGAAGGATAGGTGTATGCTTTCTGTAGACCACCCTAAGCTGCACAGCTCTGATAGGATCCTCTAAGAATACCTTCAGGTCTGCCACCTTCTGCTCTCCTAGTGGGCTGGGAGACTGGACACCTTGAAAGCCTCTTTCTATTGATGCCCTAAATGCTTTATTAGCAGAGGCAGGTGAAGTAGGAAACCTGAGACAGATTGTAATCACTGAATTATCTTACTTTTCCTCTTCTGTAATATTTCTTCCTATTTCTTCCTGTTGCTGGTCATCCCTTTGTGTTATGTAATATAGATTAAAAGGGCTTTGTAGCCTTTATTTGCCTAGAAAAGTTGCAGACAAGGATGCCACGCTACAAATAATAAATAACAAAACTCTGTCTTTTTGGCAGCATGTTGCATTTCTGCTTAGTTGCCCTGCCAGCCCCTCTGACTTTAAAATATTTTAATGTCCTGCACTTTTCACCGAGTCCGAGCACTAGACTTTCCTCAGACATTTAGCACTGACATTAATGCAAATGCCTCCAACTCACTGGGCCCTTTGGGGTGAAACATGACATCCTTCGCTTTCAGTCACATGGCAGAGGGGATATATTTGTATCCACAAGACTGGAAATAATAAAATATCAGTATTCAGGTGCTAATCCATGTTAATTTACATTCTGTGAAGTCTCCAAGAAACTTGTAATTGGTTGTGTTGAAGGGCAGCAGAGTTTATTTGGTATTTTGTTTATTTATAAAAAAACTTAAATTATACATATAAACACTGCGTAGATTTGGATTATATCTCTCTTCTAATCATTGCTGGATGCTTTCTTGAATTCCTAAGTTCTAGTGTTTTGGGGCTTGCAGACTGTCTTTTCACTCTATGTGAACAATAATACAATGCTGACAAAGCGTTGCCAGAGTGCAAATAATACTTTTCTTTCTGTCAATGGATACCAGATTTCCCTGCTAAACTATTTTCACTGCAGTGGTTTTGTTATCTTTAACAAACCTGGCTTCTGCAATTAGAAAAATTAGGTCTTTGTGAAAATTCCAAAGGCTGGAGGAGCTTAAATTCTGTATGTTATTGAAATTAATGCACAGATCTAGCAAAAGAAATATGAGTGCCTGATTCACCGCTGTTCTGATGTGCATAAAATCTCAAATGCTTAACTGCCTAGATGAGCCATGGTGCAAAGATACTCTGGGATATAAGTAGGATTTTGATGTCTGTTACATAATATCCACAAGTATAACAAAACCACTGGAATTTGCTAGCACTGGGTTGACAAATGTGAGTTATAGTTGCTTGCTTTCTTCAGAGTTTTATCAGAGTATAATCACTTGCCCGGCTTAATTGAAAAATCACTTCAGTTTATAGCTGAATTTAAACATGTTTTGTATTTAAATGACAGCTTTGATGTACAACCATTTTTTACAGAAAGTAGTTGGTTTTTATCTGTGTTTCTGTAAAGATATTTCAAAAACTCTCATCAAATTTCCAGCAGTAAGTAATATCCCATTCAGTGCAAGGTGAAATGTTTTACATCAAATCTCCTGCTGTGTAATGGCCAATCAAAGAGTATTTATAGTGGCTGAATGGATTTTTTGGCTTGGTATTCAAAATTAAACATTTTCAAACCTTAACATTTAATGTTTTTTGCCACTCTTCAAGTTGATTTTATGTAACCCTAGATGCTCACAACTACTTGATACTATGAAGTGACTCATTTTATGCTGAGGATCCTGCAGGCAGTAGTTTTACATTTATTACACTTGTGTAGATGGAATGAAATGTAGGTTTGATAGCAGATTTGTGTCTGTCTTCTGATAAACATTTTTTCAGGTTTGGCTCTATGTCCATGATGCAGGAAGTCTGTTTCTGAGAGAACACATTTACCAAATGAAATTAATGAGCAAAGATAAATTTTGATAATTCACAGGAAATTGTTTCTCTTATTGCAGGTATCCAGTAGGAAGAGCTTATACCAACAACCATCTTTGGAGCTAGACAGATCCAGAGTTGGTATTGGGGGACCTCAAACATTTTATATAAACAGTACTGCATCAAAGGCTGGAAGCCCAGCCTGTGGTGCATTGTCTCAGCCTTTCAGGAATAATGACAGTTACGGTACTGAAATCGACTACAACCATCAGACCTGTCTGAAGAAATATCCGGTAGAAAATTACTTGCAGAGAAAGTGTAACAATATGATTTCCCCAGCCAAACAGAAGAACCCTCACCATGAAAAAATTGCTCAGGAGATGGACAAGAAAGCAAATGAATTTCAGAGCACATGCCCTCAGCAAGTGAGTCACAGTTGTGCCTGCAGGCATGTAGGGAGCTCAGGGAGCATGCAAGAGAGCCACCGTGTCAGCCAGGTATGTAGAAGACACTCTGGGTCAGTTTGCAAAACCTGTGATTATTCTAGTAGATCTGAAGTTTCTGGGAAGAATAACAGCATGGGGCCTAAAGAACTAGAACAGGCTAAAATGTGCTATGAAGAAAGAAGGAAGAAGCTCCTTCTGCGGAAAATGGAGTTGGAAATTGAAAAGGAACGCCTCCAACAAGCATTGGCTAAGCAAAAAGTAAAACTGTACCTAAACCAACAAGTAATACAACCATACCATCTGGATGATAACAGGTGATTTTAAGAAATTTCATTTTTTAAAAAAATCTAAAATTTCTAATGAACACATGGGCAATAGATAGTTAAAGTGGGAGAATGGAACTGATAAGATAGGCAGGACTAGTGGCACAAGTTCTTTCTAGTTGATTTAGAGGAGAGAAGACTTCTTAGTGTATTAGCATATACTGTTGGGAAACAGCATGACAGCTGTGGAAAGCAGCAGAGAAAAACAGTATGTGATAGAAAGAAAGGCATAAGAAAAGCAGGGTGGTAAAAGACTAGGTGGGAAGAGAGGAGCAGTAGAAGAAAACAAGAGGTTGATGTTAGTGCTGGCACTTGAAGGGAGTGCAAACATTTGGCAAGAAGCAATGTCAGTGTGGATGACATAGATGCAACACTTCCCCTTCTTTCCTTGGTGAGGTCAGTTTTAAGTATTGCACCTTCCTAGGTAGGGACTGGAAGATGTGTGTTTTACAGAAGAGATGGAGATTTTTTTTTATATATGGAAATTTTTTTTTCCACATATATATATATATATCTATATCTATATATCTATATATATATTTATATATGGAAAGGGAAGGGAGCTCTGTAGCAAGAACATTTTTTTCCCAGTGATGACTGTGGAAGGAAGCATGCCAAGACTGATGCACAATACATGCTTAAGACTAGAAGAAGGGGAAGGCAATAACCGCAGAAATACGTGTTGTGGCTTGAAAAGCCCATGAATTTGTTGTAGAATGTGAGGTAACACCTGCTTGACAATGTAAATGGGGTCTCTGGGAAAGAGGGAGAAACTGGTTTAATGGTATCATGTTACTAGAACAAAGAGGAATGGCGAAAGGGAACAGGTTAAAGTAAGTTGAATTAGCCAGTGTAAAGTACTAGCATTTCATCACTGGAAAGGGAAAGCAATGGGGCAGAATGTGGCAGTCTTGTAGAAGCAGCAATAGGGGTGTTTCACAAGGTTGATTATTTCTATACTGTTTTAATATGGCAAGTGCTGACAGCATCCCATGAGAGTCTTCATTGCATGACACACTTCCTACATTCACATACTCCATGGAGGAATATATCACTTTTTCTTCTTAATCCCAGCCCCCTGGTTATTTGTCAAACTCTAAAAAGAGAATACTGTAATTACGTGGTCTCTTGTATGTTATCTTGGATTTTGGCTTCTATTGAAAATAATGTGTTTATATGGCTTTAAAAATACCTATTTTAAAGGCAATCACAATTGTGTGTGTTGAAAATCTCTGTGGTCGCAAACAAAGGATTATGACTTCAGGTGAGAATTAAGTAGGGACAGATGGATTCTTAATCATCAGATACCTTAAGTCTATGCATGCATCCCTCTAATGAAAAACAAGTAGAACATGAAGGACATACAGACTGAGATTTTTGGTGGTTTTGTTACTAATGGATATTTTTTACCATTTGAGGCATCATAAGTCCAGAAAAAAATGGACCTTAAATATATCTATAATGATGAGCATGCTAAAGCTCTTATGCCTATTTCAGCTGTTGTTTTTCTGAAAAAAAACTACATGGTTTGCAGAGCTCTAGTTACCTAAAAGAATTCTGTGAAAGAAAATAATATATGATCAATCTGAGGACTCAGTATTTTTGAGATCTCTTATCAGAGGTGCAGGTGAAAGCACATTTGCCATATTCTAAGAAAATTAACTAGAACATAGTGTGCTTGCTGTTAAAAAATATTCATTTTTTTTAGAATTAAATGTTTGATATTTACAGGTAAATCTCTCAGGCATTACAGTTCTGTTTCAGTTCTAGGTATATAATTCACTTTTGTACTTGATAACAGGGTAATTTTATATACTAAAAACAATAAAATTTTGTTTAGCTAAGCTTAAATACTTAAATAAATAATGCTTCATTGTCAGGAGGCTCTAACCTAATTCATCTCTTAACATCATGACAGTTTAAAAAACAATACAACAAAAATCCATTTCCAGATAGTGGGGGTTTTTTGTCTGTCCTTCTGCCTGGGTGGAGTGCTGTTAAGGTCCATTCTGACTGGCTGAAAGTATTGTCATTGAATGATAAGTACAAGGCCTGACCATTTGTAATTATTGGCTATTAACTCTTCTGCTCTTTTAGCAAACGTATAAATGGATCCTTTTTTTTACCATGCTGCATCATAACTGCATTTTAATTTCCCACATTTTCCTATTTAGCCTCAGGTGAGCGTAGTACTTAACAGTTTGCAGTTTCTCTCTATGTGAAATAGTTTCTTGGCTGTGAAAAATAGTGTGCGTGCAGGGAAAAGGGCAGTTTAGTGACTCCTGATGCCAACCACAGAAGAGCAGACAAATATGGTGAATCCTGAAAGGAGGAATTTTATTCAAATGAAAAGTGAGAAGTACCTCTGTTGTTGACTTTTATATCTTCATTGAAGAGAAAGAAAAAGGTGTGGTGATCTATTAAAAATAGAGCGTCATCTGTGGGCCCACAGTTTCAGGAGACACAACTATCTCAGCTGAATTCTAGATTTTATGCAGTACATACGTACTGTGGATTCTGTGACCATTTTCTTAAGGGACCTGGTCCCTGGAAATCAGTAGATGAAATTTTTCTAATCTTTTTCCCAACTGTAACCCTTAGAAGCGAAGGCACTGGACATAAGTCAGCCTTCAAAAACAAAAGTATATTTGAAAGTGTGAAAACAATCATGAAAGCTTCTGCATTTAATGTGCATTAAGTGCCCTGTTTGTAGACACACAACTCACCTTTCTGTGGCGAGTTCCTGGTGTGATGATTTGACCAGCTGCAAAACCAGCTAACTATGCTTTTTTCAGGTTTAAAGGCCATGTACCCAGTTTGGAAGATGTGCCCATTGATGAAGCACCTGGAGAACTTGCTCTGAAGATGAACGACAACAGCATGGGGCTAAGGTAATTTCTCTCTTCACTTCTAAGTACTTCACATTGTCAGTATATCTTCTTGACAGTGTGGTGTTGGCTGTCAAGTGTGTTTTTTCATGTGTTTGTTTCAGATTAAGGGCTTTTTTCCTGCAGGAAAGGTAAAATTCATTGGCTGTTGTGTTATGAGTCAACTCAATAGTTATGCTGACCTGTTATTACTCATGGTTTAGGGGTTGACTTCCTGTAGAGGTCTCAGGTTTTGTGTGTTATTTCTTAAGGGCACTAACCTAGCCCAGTGCAAAATGGAGTTTTCATGTAATCTTAGCTTTTGTTCTTTGTTCTAGGTACTGCTTGTTATTTTTTTTGTTACGATCTGAACAACTCTTTAGTCTTGATTTGGACCTGATGTAAAAAATACATTATCCTTTAACTTCCAGATAGAAACGATCTTTTATAATTGGTGACGGTTACTTGTTTTTTTAAACAGTGCTGTCTTGCACCTCTGCTTCAGTGTGATCAGAGCAAACTACCACTGAAATAACTGGAAGTAGATTTAAGCCAATAATTAGCTCTTTATCTCAATTTTGCATGCTATTTAAAACCTTAATCAATACGTTATTGTGTTTTCTTTCTATCCTACCTTGCTGCATTTCCTGTTACCACTGGAAGAAGATTCAGTCTTATTAGAAAAGCAACAAATAAAAACTGGATTTGACAGTTTTTCCTCCTTTCTCAGAAAGTGACAGCTTTTTGTTCTGTTTCAACTATAGATGTTCCTTTGACCAAAGTATTCCGTGTTTGGTAGACAAGACAAGCAGCTGTCCTCTGAATGGTCCCTTCTTTAGTGACAAGAGAAGACTTTAAAATAATAAGCTTTTCTCTCCACTATAAGAATACTGGAAGAACTGTTTATTTATTTATAAACCAAGGGTCCGATGCATTATTTTTCCTTATTTTTTAACATGAATTGATACTGATTTTTTTTGTTTTTGTTTTTAGATTCCTTTTTCAAGGAATAGGACTTCTTTCACTGGAACAGTTGTTAGTTTTCTTGGAATACTTTGCTGCTTAACCAGGTGTTTGGCTGCTGTGAATAACTGGCATATCCTTACTGTATTCTGATGCTTTTTTATTTCATTTTCACATAGACTGAAGTGATCAAACTGTAACAAAAGAGATGGAGAATTATGATATGTTTAAGATGCAGTAGCATTAAGCCCCTTGGAGGAAAAATGTAACCTAGAACATCTGTAGGGCCTCTTGTCAACAGTTTACCAAAAAACTGCAAAAATCTACACAGCCTAGCAGGAAAAATGAGAAAAACCTGTGCTGTTAACAAAATGAGAGTTCCAGATTCCAAAAGGTTCCCCACCCTCTCTTCATTCCTCTAGTTTAATTTAGTATAATTTTTCAAAGTTAATATGTGTTTGTGCAGTCTCAAGTTGCCATGCCAGCTGGTTACAAAGTTTGGCAGCAAAACACTTGGAAGTTTTCTTCCTATATGCCATCTTCAGTTTCGCAAAGGTTACCAGATGAACGGTCCCTAAATAATTTACTCTAATGTAAGGCTGGAAGAGGCTATGGAAGACAAGTCCATTTGTCTCTTTTATGCGTTTGAATATGTTAGTGGTGTTTTCTTCAGTTAACGAGAGAGTGTGCAAGTATGTGGCTAGAGCTTAGAAAGGAGGAAGAGCTGATAGGAATACATCTGGTTTTTTGACAGTCTCTTTTTTGGTTTTTATTCATTTTTTGGGGGTTTATTTTTGTTGTTATTTGTTTTTTAATTGACCTGCCAAATGGTTCTTGTTATAGAAAATGCTGTCAGAACCCAAACAGAAAATCAGCTCTCTCTGACTTTCAGTTCATACATTAGAGCTCCCCTAGCAAACCTCACAGCATGAAACTTGGTTTCAGTCTTCAAATAAGCAAAACTTAGCTTAAAAATATCCTGGTATTTTAGAGGAAATGGTGAAAGTCCTTTAAAATACTAAACTTGCTTAAGTGATATGTTGGAGTTCAGAAGTAAAATAAATAATATAATCAAGGACTGAAAAACATAGGGTTTTTTATAATTAACAGCTCATTTTGAGTTAATTATCTACAATTACGAAAATCTAATTGCAATTTATTCTCTACTATCTGTGGGAAGAATCGTAGGCAAGGGAATGTGCATCACTGCCAGGCTTAAATGCTATAGGATGAGTACAAATAATAGAGGAGCCTTTAATGAAAAACAAAAAGCAAATAGGAGCGTGCAGCTGTGCCAGGCTATTGAAAGGTAATTGTAGTCAGAAATGAGATATGTACTTTAAAAGGCATCTTGTCATCTCCTGTAGGGATTAATTTTTTCCCTCCTTGAAAAAGGAAAAATAGATTCCATGAGCACATGCAGTACCGAGTTTGATTTCTGATACAGATTTTGGTCATTGTCTGCCTGTGAAAAGAAAACTTTTATCTCTGGGACTACAACAAGCTATAGCCAAATTTTCTAACAGAGGCCTGTTTTGTTTTCTCTTCTAAATATGCCCTTATGTTTTTTTCATTATCAGAGTCGGCAAGTGTTGTCCATTTCAGCCTCTTTGCATGGTTCCGGTATGAATTTGCAGTGTTAAATTTGTCACTTCCCTGCTGGGTATGTTGAGGAGCTGTTGGGAAGAAATGTGTCTGTCACATGTGTCAGCATGCAGCTGGGCCAGCGTGTGGGACCTGAAGAGTCTTCAGATGTAGGATCTCTAGTTCTCTAAGGTGCAGCAGTCAGAGCAGGTTTTACTGAGGATGGTTTTCAGTAGCTTGGAGCGCTCCTAAGTAAGCCCACAGCCGATTTTCAACTATGGAGATAGTAACTTGTACAATTAATGGCAAGTTGTCTGGTTGTCTGTGTAACTTCTTTTCAAGTCTGTCCCAGTGTGCAAGATGCTTTAAAATGTTCAAAATAACAACATAACCTGATGCATTTGTTTAGCATAAAACAGCCTTTTACAAAGCACTTTCCATCCCTCAGATGCAGATGCTCGGTACATGCTCAAGTACCCACTCCATCCCTATTCAGTAGGATCAGTACACCCGACACCTGCTTTTGTGTGTGTTCCTGATGTCTGCATCTGGGAGAGGAATTTTAAAACAATCCACTCTTCTCTATTTAATCTTAACTTTGGATCTGAAGGTCATGGAAATAAGACCTATTTAATAGCACCAACTGGAGAAGATACGGTTTGCTACTTTGTGAGCACCCCTCCCTACAGTTGTGCTTTGTGCCTAAATCTTAACATACAAGATACCCTGCTTTTCTGATTCTTAGGTTTCCTGTATGGCTCTGCCAGTACAGCTTTCTACTGCCTTCTCTCTAACATACATCTTTCCCTCAGGTTTCACACAATACTGCCACTGTACCTCTACACAGACCTGTGCAATACATTATGAATAGGAATTGTTGGATACAGCAGCTATTGGATGGGTTTACAGTTATCTGCAGGCACTCTTTCAATGTATGCTACCTGGTTAAAGGATTTCTTTCCTAGAGTATCAAAGATTTGCAGGTGGAATTCACCACCTTTAATTTCATTGAAGGCCTTTTATGTTTGTGTTCTTCATTGTATATCACCCATGTGTATTTTTTCCAGTTTCTGGTTTTAGTTAGTTGAAAACATCAAACAAAGAATTCAGCACTACTTCCCTCCTATTTGAATGCTCATTGCTATGGTGATAGTTCCAGGAGGGAATGCTGTCAGGGGTCTTTTAAAAAATTTTTATGTTTCTGGTGTAACTATTTTTATTATTTTGTGAGAGAAGGTGACAATTATCTCTTACTCCTTGTTTAATGCTTTGTTATGAATTCGATTGTTTTTTGTGGCTTGTTAGACATGCAGGCATCTTTCTATGGTGATGTGCAAGCATACTTCTGTGTTTTTGTCCAAATATTCAACACAATTAAATAGTTGTGCAGAGGAACGCAGACTCGCAGCTCCCCCTGCTGTCCCAGGCATATGTAGGCTTGCTCATACAATCCCCCCCTCCAAGTAATTTAAAAATTAAATTAAAATCACACACAGTCACACAGCTCTGCCACCTCTGACCTGACGTGCTGGCCCCATTACTCCCGTTTTTGAAGGGAACTGATATTTTAAAACTGGTGGCAATGGTAGCACCCATTTTGTTTCCTATTTGGTGTTTTCTTGTCAGTTCTCCTTCATGCTAGCATGCGTCACCTCCTGTTACTCTTGTCCGGAGTCTCTGAAGGAGGAAACCATCACCAGTGCCACAGTTGACTCATTGTCCAAGACCTCCCAGGCTTCAGTTCATCTGTGAGTTGTCCTTGGTCTCTTGAGGTGCATCAATGTAGTACTTGGCCAACTTTTAGGAATGTATTGAATACAGTTTGTTGGGATTTTTTTTTCATCTATTTGCTGTTTTGGCAGACTGGCACATTAAATTGGGCTGAAATCAACTGTGCTTGCAAATGGCCCATAAAAATCTGTGTATCTGGAAGCCACTTACTCACTTGTTAGTGCTCCTTTTAACACCCAAGTTACTTTCTTGTTCCAGATAATTTTACATTGAAGTTTGTATCATTTTTAGATAGGATATTTGTGGAGCGAACACTTGTTTGGCCAGTAAAAAAAGTGCTTGCAGATCTGCCAATAATGCAAATGCTGAATTAGGTGCAGATAGGAGTTTTTCTTTCTTTCATGGTGTTGTCTGGCTATACATAGGCACAGCATCCCTCCAACAGATGGCTGCCAGTTGTGACGTAACAGGAGAGTACAGTTGGTGTTAAATACACATTTTTGCTTCATTAGTGCCACGTGCAAAGCCTGAAGGTAGTAGGTTTTCTTGCGCAGGGTTAAGTCTTTTGTTCTGATGTGATTACTAAAAGCTTATTGTGGCAATCTTTTACATATATCAATGCATGCTTTTTTTTTTTTTTTTTTTTTTTTTTTTTTTTTTTTTTTTTTTTTAGGTAGGCAGTGATCCTTATCAGACTGGGGAGTGAGGAGTTCATTTCTGCTGACCTGGTTGCTTCACTAATCTCA